TTTTTTTTTTTTTTTTTTTTTTTTTTTGAGAAAAGCCCTTGCAATATCCCTCAATCTCCAGGTCTTGTATGGTCATCGTGGGATTGTAGGGCAACACCCTCAGACGCGGATGGGGGGCTCAGCAGGAACACCAGGACCACGACGACCACATGTCAACCGCCTCCTCGGCATTGGCAGACACAAGAGAGGCTCTGGCCTTGGCCTGAGGACTTTTTGGGACAGGGGCTGGAGGGCTTAGGGTTTAACAGAGCAGGTCCGAAAGAAGGCTGAAGACCAAAAAGGCCAGCAGAGCAGGACACAGTAGAACAGCAAAGACAGAGAGGTGTAGGGACGCACTCACTTCGGGAAGAACCTAGGGACTCTAGTATATAACGAATACCTGACAACTGCAACAGCTGAGAGAAGAGTAAGAAGTACTAGGAACCCCCTAGAAAGGCACACAGAAATAGGGTAGGAAGATAGTCAGATTGTGATCATAAGGTCCTTCGATACATCCGTTAAAATTGGAACGATACAGAGAAGATTAGCATGGCCCCTGCGCAAGGATGACACGCATAAATCAAAAAAAAAAAAGATTGTGATCATAAGCGAAACTGGCTAAGGCTGCCAGGATAACTCCGGGTAGAATTGTGAGGTCCCCGACCTCAATTTCCAAGATATTAATGGAATGTTTCGTTAAAATAAAATTAAAAATTAAAAAAATAAAATAAAAAGAATTGCAGGGGCCAATAGGACTACAGGGGATGGGAAGTAAGGGCCGTCGATGGAATGTAGAGGGAAGGGGGCGAAGGGGGTATAGAGGGTGGCATGGTGGGAAACATGAAAAATAAACATAAAATAATCACAAAACACTATCAAAAAAGTCATCAGCAGATAGGAGGACAAGGTGATGGGGGACCGTAAGTGCTGGGGATGTAACATTGGTGTGTTGGGTGTGTGTTTGGACTTAGGCTACCAGGGCCTGTTATAGGTGGTATGGGGTCCAAAGCTGAGGAATGAGTGAGGACCGTATGTAAATAGCTGGTCGTCAGAGGCTGGTGTGGAACCAGCGCGGATTTGGTTGGAACTAAACAAAGGTATAGGTGCTACAGAGACAACGAACGACGATGGACCGTACTAGAAACAGGATGCTAAGCGGCCTGAGGAACTGTTAGGAGTCCCCCCCCCAACGGCTTACCTATCCGAAGGCTGCCCTGCTGCATGACTGGGTGCTGCCAGTAAGCCTCCCGGCGAGCAGGGCAACCATGCGAAAGGTCATGGTTTGGGGGGAGGGCCGCCGCGAAGCAGTCCCCCCTTTGCTAGGTGACTAGTGCCACAAGGGATGGGCTGACCCTCTGTCCCGTATGTTCCTCTCGCCTGTCTTCAGTTGTAAGAACATGTTTGCCGGTGACGAGCAACCGGACTGAGGGCCCCCAGAATAGAAGGGGTGTATGTGTGATAAAGAAAAAAGAACAAAAAAGATCACTGTAGAAAAAGAACGTTGGTGATCTTTCTTGCGTTCTATGCTTCGCACCATAACACGACCTCTTGAAAGTGCCTATTGAGAAGTGATTGGATTCTAACATGCCAGTGTTTTTTTAACGTACGAATACTAAGAGGAAGTTGGTGGGCTTATCTTGAGCTAGGTTGGGGCAGTTGGTGGTTTTGGGAATCCGTAGAAAATGCTACAGCTTGGGTTCATTCAGCCATTTTATTTCGCTTGAATTTGTGGACCGTATTTCTAGATATTGTGACTTTTCCCTGATCCCTCAAAAGGGAAAAGCGGTCCTCACGTAACGCCCTCCTGCGGACCCAAGAAGATAAGAAACTGGAAGTGGTACCAGTGGGGCGCACCGCATTAGGGAAGTTCCCTTTTTGGGGGGGATCACAGTGCAGTGCGAAAGGGCAGGAGATTTCTTCAGACGCTTCCCGAGAGAGAGAATTTTCAGGCCGGATGCCAACGATCTTTGTTGGTTTCGGGGTCG